GGGCTCAAGCGTGGCAACGATAGTGAGGTTGGCCCAGGATCGGGCAGTGTTTTGTTCTGCTGTGCATAAGGTCGCTATGAGTTGGTGCTGACTCGATGGCACCTAACAACAACAACAACAAGTAGTATAGTGGATTACAAGCTGGGCTGGTAGCTACGAGTTCAATAGTTTGAATCTACCAGTTGCATTGTGGGAGAAAGATGAGACTTCCTGCTCTGTTAAAGATTTACAACCTCAGAAACCCCACACAGGGTCTCTGTGAGTTGGAACCGATATGGTCGCACACAACCACCACATCCAAGGTTGTTTAATTCAGAATCTGTGCCTTTCATCACTGTGCATTATTAGAGAATGGAAATGGTTTTTGAGATTGTAAGCAGACCCCAGATATTACCTGCATATTCAGATTCCTTTATAGGCCTGGCTGGTAAAATACTGATGGACTGCCATCCTTCTGCCATCGCAAGCTCAGGGTCTTCATAGTAATCTCCACTGTGGCCTTTTGCTTCATCCAGGGCCACAACAATGTTCCTGTCCTAAGCAGGAGGGAACATTCTAGTGAGGGAAAGCAAGTTACAATGAGGACAAATATTACAGGTAACATTAATAGCTAAAGGAACAATGTCCATGACTGGGAGATTAAAAAGAGTCAGAGTTTAAAATCTGAGGCAGTTCATGTTCAGTCCTTGTGCTAGGCAATATCCTTAGGATGTCCACCCATCCACTGAGTATTCAATCAAATACTAATTTAGGTGCTTCTGTGAAGAATCATGGCAGGTGTAATTTTTCCTTACTAATTAATTCAGTTGACTTTATGGTGGTGGTGGTGGTGTGTTGTCGAGTCAGTTCTGACATGTAGTGGCCCTGCATAGAGTTTCTGAGGCTGTAAATTTTTATGGGAATAGAAAGTCTCCTCTTTCTACTGGGGGCTGCTGGGGATTTGACCTGCTGCCCATGTGGTTAGCAGCCCGATTTGTAACCTATGATGCTACCAGGGCTCCTTATTACTTTATGAGGAGGCTTCAAAAAGTTAATGGAAAAAAATCCATTATCTTTTCATTCAATTTTCCCACAAACTTTTTGAAGCCCGTTTTATTTATTTGTAATACAGTTTTATGTGCAATACTTTATTGAGTTTTTGATGAAAATACACACAGCAAATTTAATAATTTCTCTCTATATTAGGATAAGCGCTAGACTGTTAACCTCCATTTTATAGATGAGAATTGAAATGCAATTTTATATTCAAGAATTTAGATTTTTTTTTTTTTTTTTTCTGCCAGGGATGTATGTTGCTTGAAAGGTTTTTTTATTTGTTTGTTTTTTAAATTCACCAAGTACCTTGAAACAAAGATAAAACCTATATTTCTAGATTAGGATTGGAATGCAATTTTATAGCCAAGAATTTAGATTTTTTTTTCCTGCCAAGAATGTATGTTATTTGCAAAAGTTTTTTGTTTTTTCTTAAATTCACCAAGTACCTTGAAACAAAGACAAAAACCTACATTTTGCAAATACTAAAGACTGGAAAATTCTGTGCTCTGGTAGCGTAGTGGTTACGAATCGGGCTGCGAACCTTAAGGTCAGCGGTTCGAAACTACCAGCCGCTCTGTGGGAGAAAGATGAGGCTTTCTACTCCCGTAAAGATTTACACCCTCGGAAACCCTGTACAGGGTCGCTATGGGTCGGAACCGACTCGACGGCACTTAACAACAACAACAACAAAGACTGGAAAATTAGGTAAGGGAAGAACCATACTTACGTAATTGGGATGGGGTTCATTAATGGTCTGATACTGGCCTGCTAAAACACAAGGACAATAAAAGACAGAACAAAATGTTAGTGTGATCATTGTGGTAGCCCACAATCTTGAAAGGAGTCACCTTTTGTTTTTCTTTTCCCCAGAACCTTGTGCTCTCTTTCATTCACATTTTTTTTAATTGATAATGATTTTTCAAAACTGAAGTGCATGTAGCCTCTTCTCATGCCTGGCATGCTGCTCCCACAAAGGGGAACAATGGAAAGGAGCAAACAAAGTAAAGTTCTAACCAAACAGCTACTGTGTCCAAGGAAGAAAGCAGCCTCCTATAAAAATCAAAGAAACAAAAACCCCACTGCGATCAAGTGAAGTCCAACTCATAGTGATGCTGTATAGGCTTTCTAAGGCTGTAATTCTCTGCTGGAGCAGAAAGCTTCCTCTTTCTCCCTTGGAGTGGCTGGTGGGTTTGAACGGTCAACCTTGTGGCTAGCAGTCTAGTGTTGACCCTACAGCACCATCAGTATGCCTCTGTTCTTCATACAGCATGTTGAAATTCTCACTGATGGACAAACATGATATTAGAAGATACCCTACATCAATTACACCCACAGTCTTGACTCAGCAACCCCTCAGCTCATAAAGAAGTTTATTCCCCTTTCCCCATTACATTATATTTATATATTATATTTGCAATACTCTGTCCATACTTCTGTCCTCTATATCCCTGAATAAATAAAAATAAGCAAACACCCCCACCAATAAAGGAAACTGTTTGCTGACTCATGGCAGCCTGTGTATGTCAGAGTAGAACTGTAGTTCATAGACTTTTCAATGGCTGCCATCTTTTGGAAGTGGATCACTAGGACTTGTTTCTGTGGTACCTCTGGGTGATTCTAACCTCCAGTGTTTCTACGAGTAATTGATCGCTTATCCATTCACACCACCCAGGAACTCTGTAAGTATTTTGAGGGCAGGGGTCATATTTATTCCTTTATCTATTCCTAGTTCCAGGCACAGGGCTCGGTATGGTACAAATTAGCTCTTGATAGATGTTTGCTGAATGAACACTATTTGTGTGAAGTTTCTCAATTCTAAGCGCTTTCATTTGGACTTGCTCTATAGAAGATGATCCGAAGATGGTCATGCAACCCATTCAGTGTTCTTTGTTTTAAATGTTATCATAAATTAAACAAAAATATCAATGAAATGGAACCCTGGTATGGGGCTGTTGGGTAAGTACTGGATTGCTGACTTAAAAGGTGAGTAGTTCAAACCCACTAGCTGCTCCTCAGGAGAAATAGGAGGCAGTCTGCTCCTACAAAGGTTTCTAGCCTTGCAAGTCTGTACAGGGTTGTTATGAATCAGAACCAACTTGAGGGCAGTGATGGAAAGGGAGTGATGAAATAACAGCTTGACCTGCAGCTTGATTTTTCTAAGTTGCATTTAGATGCATGCTGGGAGTCTTCATTGAAAGCATAACAAACAGAGCCTTTTCTTATCACATCCCTATATCTAACTACATACAGGTAGTTCCCGACTTCCATCACTCCTCTGTCAGTTTGTTGTACAGTGATGGCTTGTGTGTTGCTGTGGTACTGGAAACAGTGCACTGGTATTTCAGTACTAGCAATTTCAAAGGTCAGCTCAATAAGACAAAGGAAAATATTACAACAAAATGTGCAAAGATCTGGAGTCAGAAAACCAAAAAGGAAGAACGTGCTCAGCATTTCTCAAGCTGGGGGAACTTAAGAAAAAATTCAAGCCTCAACTTTCATTATTGAAGGACTTTCATTATT